GAGGGGGAGGTTATTCCCAAACGATATTGATGTAAATATCCAGAGGGCGATCGTCGAAAATCGGGGGTTGTAGCGTAGCCCTCCTTTCCACACCATTTTGAATATATCTTTGAAATGCACCAGGAAGCACAGCGAAACAAAATATGCTGTGCTCGGAAGTGCTCTTCCGAACGTCTAATTTTAAATGCAATGAATAAAATACATACCTTCCGCTTATTAATCACACATATAGTGTTATCATCATGCAAGATTAATTTTTGACTATCTCTTGGATCATAAGTAACATTGATGATGGGAAAGTTTCGAGACAACCATTGCTTAGGATGCTGTTTGTCAAGTTTTCTTGAAAATGGTGTATACTTCTTTTCTTGCAAGTTATATTCAACTATCTAGAAATTGGGACGGATAGAAAAAAGTTAGGAGACAACTTTGAAAGAAAAATTTATAACATTAAGAGACTCCCACAGACATATACATTCTTTCCCTTATTAATGAAAAAACGTAAACAATGATTCTTAAGCTTACCTTATTGTCCACATACACCACAATTAGGTAAGTAGCGCAAGAGCTTATTGTAAGTGCCGATGGAGCACAATTGTAGTGTGGGAGTGAGCAGTAGAACTGTCAATTTAAAAGAAATAATTTAAATGTAAAGTTAATGGAATTCATTTAGTAATAAATTAAAGTAATCAAAAATGATTTTGTGTTACCTCCTTCTCTTTCCAAACAGCAATGTTACTCATATGATCTCCAGCTATTGTGAATTTTTTATCTCCAGATACTGCTAAGAGGTGAACAGTATCTTTCAACACCTTGGATGTATCAATGGTATGCTGAAGTGTCACAGATGGTTCATTCAAGGTCAGATTGAAAACTGAAATCTGTCCTTCTTGTGTCACAAGAAACAGACTAGAACTATCTGAAGAAAATTTCAAAAGGTGGGCAGGTACACATTGCTCAGGAAGTAATGAAATTTTTTCTAGTTGAGGTTTGTCATCCACCTGAAAAACAGTCAGTTTTAAGAAATTTTAAATTGATTTTAAAAGTAACCTTCAGATGTCAATAAAGTTAAATATCAGATCAACAAACTTGATTTAATGAATAAATCCGAAGTAAAGATTCTGTAGAGTACACTAGCCATCTTGAATCACTTGACAAAGCTGCTGAAACAATGTGCTCATCATGACGGCTCCTTAGCTCCAATAATTTAATTGGATTTTGGGTTAGCTGGAGGGATTCAGAATTACTTCCAGAGTTTTGATTTTTTCCGTGCCTTCCTTTTACTAATGAAGAATCATTGGGGAATCCATTTGTTCCTTCGCTTCCTGAGTGACGCCTTTGCCTGGAAAAATTTAGATTTAAATCAATTAAAATTAAAAGCTGCCCTATAGAAATAGATAGAAAAACAAACATATAGAAAATTTTATTTACTTATTTTTAAACCCATTCTCATAATGGTTTTTCTGAATTTTTTCAGTGCCACCTAGTTTCCATATTTCTAGAGATGAGGTATATCTTAGCAATAAACACCTTGATTGCGGTGACACAACGACACATGGAGCCTAAATAGATAAGATTAGATTAATTCTAGATTTTAAATTCACTTTAGATAGTTTAGGTAGCATTCTTTTAACTGACCTGAGGAATTGGAGGGTGCTTTACCAATACCTTTGGAGGTCTGCTGACAGCTAAATATGAGTCAATGCCTCCAGAACACAATTTATCATGACAGATTGCCATGGCACGAACATCATGTTCATGGATTCGCCGATTGGCAGATCTACACCACTGAGTGCGTTGTGATACTGCTTTAGAGGCTCCTAACGCTCCTGTAATCCCATTTTGTACCCCAGAGCTACGGATAGAGATCCTAGTAAAAGTAGCAATCAATGGGTCAACACCTACAGAACATAAGGAAAGAAATAGTTGAGATAATTCAAAAATGTGAAGAAACAGACCAAATAAATTGTAAACCAACTCACCGGAACAATAAACTGTTCCTTGATCCTCAGACAGAGCTAGACATAAGACATCAGCTTCATGGCATTGGTAAGTCTCAGTATTAATTCCAGTGTGACCATTCCAAAAAGTTACTTTGCCTCTGTAAAAGTTGACCAAAATGAATTAGGTATTTAAAGACCTGACAATGTAGATAGACAGAAAGAACACCAACCTGGAGTCGCCACTAATTACAGTGAAGTCGTCTGTTATAGCTATGCACCAAACAATTGTTTCCTTTTTGGCTTCATTACGGCCAGTAGCCATTTTGTGCATGGCATGACCAGAGTGTACATTCCATATTCTTACAGCGTCAATGGATCCAGTAGCAATAAAGTCTCCAGTAGAATCCCATGCCAAACACAATATTCGTCCTGTTGCAAAAGAAAAAAATAATTGTTACAGATAAAAAGTCAGTTTAAGTTTTCCCATTTTCAGCAACTAGCGAGCTTACCTTCTTGCTTATCTAAGATCTTCTCATACTGTAAATTGTCACTTGTTATACTAAAAATATTGATATAACCATCTTCAGTGCCGACCTGAGATGCAGGGAAAGTAATTGATTAAATAAAATACGCAATAGAACAAAAAGCATATTGATGGAAATAGAAATAATAGAATTATATTTACTGCAAGGCAAGTTTTCTGTCGGTTAACACCAAGACACCAAGCTGGACCAGCTGTGACTGACACTGAGTACTAAAAGAATTTTCAAAACAAAAATTTAAAATAAATAGAAATAATGAAGCATAGATACATCAAAGCACTCTACCTCCAAGAATATTAATGGTGATGAAGTACTTAAAATACAAACCTTTGCTGTTAGAGTCTTTAAATTATGTTCCACAACTCTTGCATGAATACCCGTGCTGAAAAGGCGATTATGACACCATGCCAATGCTTCCACAGAACCCTGAGGACGGCCAGGTATAGTCCTCTCTAAAAATGCTGTGTTGCGAATATTCCACACCTCAACTGAACTATCAGCCCTACAACAAAGAAGTTTACTCAATTTTAAAATAAAAAATTAATTTGAAAAGAATTAATATTGCAAGGGGTGTAAATAAACAATCAAGAGCATGTTTACTTGACTAGTACAATGTGTTTTAGTTAACAAACATTTAAAACATGATTGATTTTAACAAAGCAGTTTAGCATTACATTATATCCACTGCCACGGAGCCATTTAAATAACTTCACGCCATTACAGAATGAAATTACTAAACATATCTTCCGTCCAAGAGCAACACATAACCTCGAACCTTCGTCTACAAACCTGGAAAGTGCTAATTTTCGATGATCTGGATCGTATGCCATACAATGAATGGCCTTTGGCTCGACATTATAAAATCTAACCCGATGCACACGAGCGTCACCCATTTTCAAAACGATCAAAACATTAACGTGTTCGTTTCCACCCAAGTCAACACACGACACTTAACCATAAAACCCACGTTGGGGAAGAACAATTCAGGTAGTGTGTATAATTCTCCATCGCTTCTTCGCACTAACGCTGTTCGACACTGCTAACTTTTTCATACCACAACAATAGTCTCGCGCTATGTGCCTCGGAGCGGGAGGCGCGACGCGAGCGCGCGAGCCGTCCAAATGTCAAGAGCGGCAGAGCAGATAAAAGAAGCGACGGTGTTAATCCACAAACCCTAAGCTTGCATGTGTGGAAAGCGTGTATAGAATCTGATAAGATATCATAAGATGTGTACACAAATTATGGCCCCCACCTCCTCATTCTTTTTATCCTGCATTAGCACGTGGCAGCAGTGTGTATTCGGGATCCCCAAGCAAGGTCAGACTTACATAATCTTGACAACCCTTTTTTTACAAATATTTAAAAAAATATATTTTACAAATTTCTTTACAAATAGGTAAGATTCGTCGTCACATGTCAGCCTGTATTTCGTCCAAGGTCTTTCCCTTGGTCTCGGGCAAGAAAATGCCTATGTAAAAACAGGACAGGATGCAGAGCGCGAAGAAGGTCCAGTAGCACGTGTACTCGCCCAACGATTCCGAAAAGGTCGGGTAGAACTTGGTCACGACGAATGAAAAGAACCAGCCCACACCGGCCGCCACGCCCGACGCAGTGCCCTTCACACTGTCCGGGAAGATCTCGCCCAGGATCACCCAGATGACGGGGCCGAAGCCGATGGAGAACGTGAACATGTACACGGACACAACGAGGACAGGAATCCCCGAGATGCTGGACAAATCTTCGCCCTTGAAGTCCTGGATCAGCACATTAACGCCGCAGTTTACAAATTCAGTCCGTTAATTAATGCTAACGTTGAGCGTTTCCTTCCCATAATGTACATCAATACTTGCCTTGAAGTAGAAGTAGAAACCCATGGTGCCCGTGCAGATTGCCATGCTGACAGCGGATATCATCAAAAGCACGCGCCGGCCCAGCCGGTCCACCAAGCCCATGGACACCACGGCAGCCACCACTTCCACGGCGGCCACCACGATGCTCGCCACGTGCGCGTCGAACGCGCCAGCCTCCTACGGGGCACACATGAAACGACAGAGTCAGAATAGGTGCCCCCACATTGAGCGTATCCCG